AGGATATAGAACAGAAGTTCTCAAACCCTGCTGATCAATGGAATCACCTGTGGAGCTTTTTAAAAGACAGATTCTTGGTCCCTGTCTCAGATCAACTAATTCCAAATCTGAAAGATAGACCTCAAGTTTTGTTTTGTTTTTTAAGATTTTATCTATTTATTTATTTATTTGACAGAGAGAGAGAGAGAGAGAGAGAGACAGCAAGAGAGGGACACAAGCAGGGGGAGTGGGAGAGGGAGAAGCAGGCTTCCTGCTGAGCAGGGAGCCCGATGCGGGGCTTGATGCGGGGCTCGATGCGGGGCTCGATCCCAGGACCCTGGGATATGAACTGGAAGGCAGATGCTTAAGGACTGAGCCACCCAGGCGCCCCTAGTTTTGTTTTGCTTTAACAGAGCCATTAGGATAACAACTGAAGTGACAGTGTTTGTAAACAATGTCATGATTAAGAATGCAGGTTTTGTAGGCAGGCTGGCTGGTGTCTAATCCCAATCGTGATGCTTACTAGCTGTGTGACTCTGGGCAAAATACTTAAGCCTCAAAGCCTCAATTTACCCATCTATAAAATGGAAATGCTATTACCACCTACACCTCATAAGGCAGATGCCTAGGAAAGAAAGCAAATTTTGAAAGCATATGTTAATTCCAAGGAATTAACGTGTAACCAAAAGTTACACGTTAAAGAACACATTACCAACCAGATCAACATGATAATGGAAGTATTCCATATTGATTTAAACAAAAAATGTGAGATGATTATGTTAGGGGGCTGTGGGGACCAGAAGCGGTGAGTGGGGAGTGTTAAAGAACTATTGCTAAAATCGGTACAGCAGGAAAAAAAAAACAGTATTTGGCAATAGATAAATGCCGGAAGTATCAGAGATGAAAGCTGCCAATTGCAGGGCACGGGCTGGAAGAGTAGGAGAAATGCAGAAGGAGGGGGTAGGTGTTGCAGTTTTTCAATATTTGCTTTTTAGCACTGTTTTATTCAAACAAGGTAGATAGGTTGCTTTGATAAAAATAAAAGTGAATTTAAAAAGATAATCCATAACATGTGATAATATTGTATGTCTTTATATACTACAGTTACCGTAAGGTTTTTCAATTTACCAAAACTTGCTTTTTAAAAACCTGATAGAATCCTTCCAACTGTACCACCGAAATGTCCAGGTGCTGGACATTGACGATAACCATTTACTATGTCCCCGGCACCTGTGGCCCTCCTCCAACTGCAGTGCTGCTCGGAAGACAGGGAATAATATTCCAAACTCACATTCTCGAATTTTCACCCAGAGCCTTCCATTGGCTAATTCAACAGAAAGCCAGAGAGCAAGGAAGACCAGGGAACGCTGACAAGAGAGGGCAGCCTCTGGGGGCTCAGAGCCTTTCTGAGGAGCAACAAGCTGGAGGCACAAATGGAATGTTCAGCACAAGCACCGGGCAGAGTTTTATTTTTATTTTTTAAATTTATGTCCCTTTTCTACTCAGCCTTATATTTTTAAAAAAAAAAAAGATCCCTTGATTTCTCAACCTGTTTAACATAAATGGCAACACCATCATCATCTGCTGATGTTATGCAGCACTTGACAACTGGCTAAGCACTTACAGGTACACTACCTTTACGTCATCCTCAGAACACCTCGATGCACTTAGCTCCACTGGAATGTCTTAACTGCTGAGAAGAAAGCAAAAGTCAGCAAGCATACAATTGCGTTTGGCTGCCCAGTAGACTGGGCAAAGGTTATCCTGATTTTACGGCTGAGACCTTAAGAAAAGTTGGGTATTTTGCCCAGAATCATAAAGCTACCAACAGTAGCACCCAAACTGAAAGGCATGTTTCCTAGCATGTCAGCCTAGGCTCTTTCCACCACACAAGGCACTCATGCTACTTATTCATAGTAGGAGCACAAAATTGATGTTCCTGTGAAAAAAGCATTAACCAGCTTTGTTCTAGGCACCGCACAGAACACAGAAGTAGTCAACAAACAAGACACAAGGGGAAACAGAGCACACTTGCCCATTCCATTCTCGAGAAACCACGAGGAATGCCAGAGACTGAAATAGTTGAGTTTTCAATCACACCGTACACATCGTTGAAAAGAAGGTGTTCAGCAGGGCAAGGCAAGTGTTCGGAAGAGGAATAAAAGTCCAGGGAAAAGCAGAAAAAAAAATATGTAATGAGTTTTGTTTGGGGAGGCTAGAGTAGGTGGAAGGAAATCACAGTCCCTTCACAACCCCCAGGCTGCAGAGAGACCAGGGCTCCAGAAACTGCCGTGAAGACCTCTCTGCTTCTCTTGCCGTTTCCAGCTCTACCCCCACATACACACACATCCTTTGAGAGCTTAGAGAAGCAGCCAGAAGTGACTTCTCTCTACCAAACACAGGAGGCATGGGAAGTCCAGCAAAATGGCCCACTTTTAAAATACTAATTGACAACTCTGCACCTTTTATAACCTACTGCAAAACGTTCAAGTACTTACACGTGATGGAAGAAAGTAACGAATGGTATTTTAATTGTAAACCTCCAAACATACCCCGTTTATTCCATATCTACTACTCTACCACTTAGGCTTCTGTGGTGCCAGGACTGAAGCCAGTTGGCTAATTTGAGGAGGATTATTGGAAAGAAACTTGGGGCTTAGTGAATCCATGGAAAATAAGCCTAATTTTCCACTGGAAAATAAGGCTTAGCAACCATCATTTGCTGAGATAGACATGGAGACCAGGGAATGGGAAATGCTAAGGTGGTCCCCACAGTAGGTGTTTTCAGAGCAGGATGCCCACTGGGAGAAAGGAGAATTCCTTAGCTCAAGATTCAGACAGCACATGAACACCCCCTCACCCAAGCTAGTGATCATGCACCCATCTCAAAGCTGAGTATAGGCCCCTGGGTAGGGCCCCTGGTTACAGTTCCACTGACCCAACCACCTCAAAAGGAAATCAAGGCGCTGTTAGGAAGGGAAAACACAGACAAGAACAGGAAAGAAAGGGGAAGGGGGAGAAGTCCCTCCACGCTCGCCAAGCCTTTCTTCCAAAATTCCTTAAGAATCTAACTAGCTAGCAGTTAAGATCACTATTTCTTAAGACTATATATACTAATAATTGTCTACACACAGCCAAAGAACATGTTTACCCTGATGCCTACAAAACTTCACCCCGACAACTTTTTACTTCCAGAGGCCTCACTTCTCACTTGACCTGAAAGCTGTCTGTTGCTCTGATTCCTAAAGACAAAGCAGAATTTGTCCTTCTTTAGTACTGACATGCTCATCTTGGAAACATTATCCTGTAGTTTCCAAAAAGCACAGACTTCTCAAAATGTCTAAGGAATAAACTCAGAAGGATGCCGATTTGATGATGATGACGGTAATATTAACAACAGTTGCAGCAACTAACATCTACTGAGTATTTGTCACGGGCCAGGACCTGTTCCAAGCCCTTAACAGCGATTAATTCATTTAACCTCCACAACAAGCTTATGAGGAAAACAATATTATGATCTCCATTTCACAAACTAGGAAACTGAGACGTGGAGGGGGTAAATAATGTGTCCATGGTCCAACAGCTAATAAAAGTCAACCCAGGACTGAATCCATGTCTGACTCCAAAATACCAGTTTAACAAAGGATTTTCATTGAGAGCAGAGGAAATGGACTGTGCTGTGTGAAAACACTCTCCAAGAGAAATGGGAGCACTGTAACGGTACCTAAAGATCACAAGGTTCTGAAGATTGCCCCACCACCACCGGCTCCAATAATTTATGAGAATTTATTTCTAAGAGGCTATCAAGTACTGCTTTATTCCAAGACGTGGCTCAGTGTTCCAGAGATGTGTAAGTTATATGGCTGAAAACCATTAAGGAAAACTTCCACGCCAACCAGGCTTCATGCACCAGAGTTTAGTTATCCCAAAGCAGATCCTCAAAATGGTGTTTTTATAGCTCATGTTTTGATCATTCAAAAGAGGTTTTCTCCAATTTCCCTGTAAAATTCTTTTTCACCCTCAAAACAAACATTAAAAATTCAGCCCCAGAAGTAGGTCTGTCATAAAGTTAGGAATAACTTAAAATAGAAGGTAAATCGAAATGGCTTTTCAACTTTAACTAAAGTGGTCACAGTCATGATTGCTGTAATAAAAACGACAGGAAAAAAACCTAAAATTGTCAAAAGCATAATTGATGATGAAAACAAATGTAAAATTATGCATATTTCACCCTGGCCACTAAAGACTCTTGATGAAACTGCAGCCCTATAATTCCCCAGAATGAATTCTTTAAATTAAAATACTTCATGCAGAACAGAAATTAAACAATGAATCAAAGAACAATGCTGTACAGCCGTATGCTTATAAATATACCTAGCAAAGAGGAAACAATTACATTTTTTCCATGTAAAAACGAGCGCGATTGTAATGTTTCACAGAAAGCTGATAGGTACTTTTCCCATTGCTTCAAACTTGGAAGTTCATTTCCTGTAACTCACTTAGGGTCCACAGAGACTGGGCAGAATGAAATTAGCTACACCAAACTGGCTGGCTTTCTCCTTTCTACAAAACTAGCTTCTCCACGCAACTGCACAACTGACTTTCATGATAAATTTCATCCAACCCAATTCAAATGCCACTCTGCATTTTAGTTTAAATGCTTTATTTGGCCAGCTGGTTTTATTTAACCATCGACTAGAAGCGGTACAAGCGCATTCTTTATCCAGCTAGCATTAATCTTAGTAAACTTAGCTCCACTGGAATGTCTTAACTGCTGAGAAGAAAGCAAAAGTCAGCAAGCATACAATTGCGTTTGGCTACCCTCAGCACATCATTTTATTTCCTCCTGCTCTCTGCTAACTATTGCTCAGCACTTTTGCCTAAGAGGGAGGACAAGCAGGTGGTTAAGGAAGTTGTCCTGTCAGCTGTATCTTTAATCCAAGTGTTTAAATCTCTGAATAAAAGAAAAATCAATGTTGTAAAGGCAATGTTTGTCAAGGCCATGTAATAAATACACTTACCTTTACAGACTGTTCTCAATGGATTTTCCTTCTTCGCTGAGCTTCAAAGCTACAAAGAGATAAAAATGAAAGTAGGGAGTTATCTGCGAGTAAAACACCAAATGTTTTCTCTCCATGTCTCTAAGGAGAATTTCCATATGCCATGGTATGTGGCACTGGCCAAAAAACCCGGGCCTCATACCTCCCTCACAAAAGGCCAATAAAAGACTGTCATCAAGTGAAAACAGCGTGCACATACAGCCAGAAATCAATCACACACACCAGTCAGATGGACAATCAAATCTTTTGGGGTTGTGAACTCCTCAACAGCGTGGGAATGGCTTATAAAGCGCAGAGATGCAAGTCAAATTAAATGTTACGCAGCACACTCACTCTGACCGAGCATTTTATGTTCTTAACTTCTTTCGTTGTCATCTTTCTTGCACACCGTATTTCCATTTCTCTGAAAAAGTTTTACATGGGGGAGCCTGTTCCATTTCTATGAGATGCGTGGTCCTTCCAATGCGGACCTCACCACTTGCCCCCATAAGTACACAGATGTAAGCTGACAGGTACAGTCCCCATTCCCTAGGACGAGAGAAAGTCACAAAGCTCAGGAAGCCCCACTCCACATTTCCAATTGAAACTTGACATGTTAAATTAAGCTCCCTGTGATCAAAACATCCCATGTATTGAGCACACACAGGTCAACATGATAAGAGATGTGGTAAATGATAGTTGTTAAGCAATACAGGAGCTCCCCCCACCTTAGTGGAGGTTTTATTTTCCATGGGTTCAACGGCGGTCTGGGAGCAGATGATCCTCCTTCTAACTGTCAGAAGGTCAATAGTAGCCTCACACTACTCGCCGTGCCTGCGTCATCCCCCTCACTCCATCTCGTCACGTGGGCTTTTTACCATCTCATATTATCACACAAAGAAGGGCAAGTACAGCACAGTAAGATATTTTGAGAAAGAGACCACATTCTTCACATAACTTATTATAGAATATTGTTCTAGCTGTTCTAATTTTTGTTCTAACTATTCTAATTTATTAGTAGTTATTGTTGTTAATCTCTTACTGTGCCTAATTTACACATTAAACTTTATCACAGTTTGATTGATTGATAGATAGCTAGATAGATGATAGATAGATAGAAAGATAGATAGATAGATACAGGGTTCAGTACCCTCCACAGTTTCAGCCACCCACTGAGGGTGTCAGAATGTATCTTCAGTTGGTAAGCAAGGGACTATTATCATAATAATACTTCAAGGGGCTGATATAGCATTCTATATCAGTACATCATTACTCATATGGTGACTCCATATGGTCAAAAGTAATTGGAATATTCCTCTTTCTGTCATTCTTGGCTAAGTCCTAATATCTCCTAATAGTGTGGTAGTTGGGAACAGCCAACTAATCCATGGTTTTCCCACGGTTCTTTTTCTTTTCCTTCAATGTCCGAAGGACATTGCTTTAGCTTTGCTAAAGACTTGCTTTAGCCCTTACCAAAGAACCCATTACTGCTGATGTATGGTCACTAAAGACCAAGACCAGACTTCTGGGCTGTGACATAAATCCTGGAATATTTATGGAGATAAAGCCCCTCCAAGAGACAACATCAGAAATTTCCCCTTTCCCCTGTTATATGGATTGCAATGGAGTTAGGAGAAAAATAATTTGGGATAAACAGAATTTGGGGAAAACTGGATAAATAGTATAATACTCCATTTTGTAAAATATGACAGACTTATGGTCTGCCAACATAGAGACTGACCTGTATGCCTTTCCACTTTAAACACAGAAATGTTAAGCAAAATATGGTGATAATTTAAATACATATTTATCCAAATAGCCAAGCTCAAAAGAAAGAGAAAAGACAAACATGAAGAGATAATGAATGTAAATTTTCTAGAATGAGACATGAATCCTCTTGAAAAAAGGACACCAAGACCTCAGCAAGATATATAAAAGCAAATCCACAGGTAGATACATCAGAAAGAAACCACAAAACACCAGAGATAGAAAGTCTTAAAGTCAACCAGAGAGAAAAAACAGACTCCTTGCAAAACAACTTGTCATCAGCAAAAATAAAAGCAAGACAGCAATGGAATAACATGTTCAAAGTACCATGGGGGAAAAAAAGTTAAACAAAAATTCTATAGCCATGCTAAACCAATTATCATTCAAGAACGACAGAGAAATAAGGACATTTTTCAGGGATAAAAAAAAAAAGGATTGTTTTCTGCTCATAGTAGTTTACTTTTGCTGAAAGAAATACTAAAAGGCATACTTGAATAAAAAGGAATTGACCCCAGATGGAAGGAATGAGGAGCAAATGCAATGGGGAATAAAAACATTAGCAAGCATGATGGTAAATCTAGTAAATTTAATAATAAATAATGGGTACTGGGGCGCCTGGGTGGCTCAGTTGTTAAGCATCTGCCTGCCTTCAGCTCAGGCCATGATCCCAGGGTCCTGGGATCGAGCCCCGCATCGGGCTCCCTGCTCGGCGGGAAGCCTGCTTCTCCCACTCCCACTCCCCCTGCTTGTGTTCCCTCTCTTGCAACGTCTCTCTCTGTCAAATAAATAAATAAAATCTTTTTTTAAAAAATCTTAAAAAAAAAAAAACAGAGCTTTGCGCTCATCTTGATCACATAATGCTGTGTGACTGGTATGCGTGGTATTGCCTTAAATTATTACTTTCTCCTGCATATGTTTTATCACCTTGATTAGTGTCTAAACTCCTTAAGACCTATGGCCTTTATTGTTCAAACCAACCACACCAGCCCATGCATTGTGAGCCCCAGATTCTATACCTGTACCAAACAGTCCTTCAGTAAATACATGTTGAGTAGACAAGTACAAGTGGATTCTACAGTCTAAGTGTACATCTCTCTGGTGCCTGAGCATTTTCCACACGGCTGTGCTACGTATCCAAAATAGGAGCAGGTCAGGATCAAAAAAACTCTGGTTTCAATGCCCAGAGGCAGGAATAGCCACTCAAAGTAGTCCTCTCTTTCCCGTGTTTGCCTTGACCCAAAAATCCAAGGACTTAAACTTCTACAGGCCATGAAAACCTTTTCACCTGCAGCTGCAAGGTGGTACACCATTTCCCATTGCCCTCAGGCCTAGCTCATCCCCATTCTGTTCTGGAGCAGACAGACTCTGTAACAGTCATATGACCTGCAAGACAGATTAGATTTAAATCAACCCAAATAGGTTTGGGCTTCAGCGGCTCCTAAAAGACATAAACAAGGAGGCAGAGCAGTACAGGCCAATAACACCCTGATTTTTCTTGCTCGTTTTTCAGAGGATAGCCACCTAGAAAATCTTCACCAACCCCAAGCCCCTCACTCCATTACCCAGCCCCCAGCTCCCTTAAAAACCAGCCTGAATTTAAACAAGCATCGTTCTCAAATACAGAAACTTCCTTCACAATTCATCTTTTCCCAATTGAAACCTATCTCTGGGAACCATCCAACTACATTTGACTTAACACAGCCCTGCCTGGGAACTGAGGGATTTCCCTCCATTGTTGCATTCTGCAGCCCTCACCTGGCTTGACTGCCACGTTAAGGGATTGGTTATTGACCTTTACGTCTTTAACAATTATCTACATACCTGGGAAAAAAGTCTGTTCGCTGGGGAATGAAGACAAGACACAAGAATGAAGACACTGAATAAATTCAGCCCTCATCTTCCTTCTTATGCTACGTTCAGTGAGCTGTTACTGCCTACAAATTATTGCAACATCCTTTCAAATGATAGCCCATTTCCAACTAAGAGGAGATTCTTAAACCTTTTTCTAAGTATCAGTGAAAACCAGGCAGCTAGAAAACATAGCCCTGGTTAAAGGACCTGATGATAAATGAATCTTTTAAACACATGGAATTATTTGCAAATCTGCATACTGATTTAAATGCTCACAAGAAACAGCAGCAAAGACACTGGAAACTTGACATTTCTCAGATATATTCCTAGAAGTTTTATTTCAAAATATTTATATTTATGTATTTCTAATAGAATTTCTAATTCAAAATTTGTGAAACTCTAATATACTTAGAGTTCAGAGGGGTGGTTAGAATAACTCTTAGTTTTGTTATTCACCTAGAAAGCTGATCAATACTGTCAAAATATATGTGGACATCTTTCCACTAGACCCTAAGTTTAACAAAGATACAGACAACATCTATCTTGCTCTGCACTGAATCCACATCCTCTAGAACAGTGTCTGGTACATAACATACACTCAATAACATTTGCTTAATAAAGGAATATTGTAAGTTTGCTTTACTATTAAAATTGAAAATTCTTTTTTCTTTTTGAGATTTTTTTTTTTTTAAGTAATCTCTACACCCAGCTTGGGGCTCAAACTCATAACGCCAAGATCAAGAGTTACCCGCTCCACCATCCAAGCCAGACAGGCACCTCTAGAATTGAAAATTCTTTTTTTTTTTTTAGAATTGAAAATTCTTAAGCTTAGGGTTAGTTTTGTTTGTTCTTTTCTTCTCTTTTCTTAACTTGTGTTCTAGGGCTTTCCTAAGATGAAAAGATCTCTCTCTATGGAAGCCTATACTTGTATGCACAACACACACACACACACACACATACACACACACACACACACACACCATCGCCACACCTGTTCAATGCTGTCATATTTGCCAGACACCAGAAAAGTAAATTTGCCAAGAGTATGAGCTCTGGAAAACCATTAGGTGACGTCTAAGGAGCTGCATACCAATCAGCCAATAATTAGCATATTAAAATTCAGAGTTAGTGACAAATCAAATTCCATGAAATCTTGGGGAGCATGACCCTGGCCGGATTAGCACCCTGGCTCTGGGGAGGCAGTGGCTTTGTCTGGCCAGCCAAAAAGTGCTGGGAAGTACCATGGCCAGTCTAACCCCAGGGGGAGACATTCTGACAATGTGACATTTGCACAGTGATGCCCTAACGTGGCCCCGGTATGTTTCCTCAAAACGGGATGACATTTCAAGTCAAACAGCTCTGCTCCCAATAGTACAAACCCTCCCCAAACCCGAATATAACCTGATTTTGAGA